TACCTTAAAACATACCCCCATACCTCATACCTCCAAGGTTAATTTCATCCCTACAATACTACTAACGGTGGTGTACACTGAGTTACAACATTAAATATGCTTTTTCACATTTCGCTATTTTGTGAAATTTACCATCATTTCACACATATCAAGATTGTTCTGATTTCATTATTTACCTCGGCGTCTTTAAGCAGGCGCATACCAGCGGTAGCAAACAGGCGCAGGCTCGTTGAGGCTTCTTTGTTATCGGGTACGATCCTCTTGGCAGCTTCAAGGAGAGGTCTTAAATACTCGCCTATCGCACTAGTATTCTTAGCAAAGGCACTTAAACCAGGTTTGACTTTATTGGGTTTTGGGACATGAAGCTGTTGGAAATCATTAACTTTTAGACCACCATTTCTCTTTATGTACTTATAAACTTTGACTCTTGTTCCACTTGAGCCCGCATCAAACATGACAGCGTACTTTTCCAGAYTTGCGTCATCAAATAATTTTGTATTTAGTCTCAGCTGCTCAAGGAATTTGTCCAGGAATTTAGCTGGTATTTGACGAGCGCTTGATCGGTGTGGTATTTGTGTSCAAAGCAAAACGATGAAAGAACACGTGATCATAAACCTCATGATTGCAAGCCACTGAACAAGATAACTGCAGAAAGAATTAAAAAGCTTGGTCAAAAGGGWTTTTTCCTAGAGGTATATACCAATAAATGCAACGTAGGTTTTTCATTGTTCACTTCYTGGAAATTCTACTGATGATTASCAAAATTCAAATCATCATCGGAYAAAAAAATACGTTGATTTCATAATTTTTTGCTGAATTTGAAGAAAACAGAATGCGGTAARGCCCGGAACAATCAACCAACAATTAATGAATCCGTGTTGCACACCATACTCTTCGGTCACTCACGCACCCTTCTCTCCGACAACATTTTTGGGGATAAGGTATACTATAAACGTCGTAATTGCTTCAGTGAAAACCAGGAACMCTGGTAATTTGCTTTGGTACTAGGTGCTTTGACGTCCATTCCAACAAGGGAAATAGAAATGCGCTTATTGGTCAAACAGAAACAGAGCCCACTTGATATRACACCATGTAAATAGGGTATTGGTAACGACCCCTGCATGGGAATTAACGCGCTTGCACAACGCTTGATCGCCACTTGRCGCTTCCAGTTCTGACAGGATATATTTTTTTACACATAAAAGATAACAGCGGCATGCAGTCAATTGTCATAAACCACAAAAATCAATGTAGAGTGGCATATATGAATTATTAGTATCGAGAACATCATAAAGCACAACTGACGAGGGTTGCGTCACYCCTACACTTGTGTTGATGTATAATACTTACAATTAAAACTCGTTTTCTTTGCTGCGGAGAGTACTTACACAAAGCAAAGACCTTTACGTTGAAATTGTTTTGTTGATCGGTTGTATCGAGACTGGTCCACTAGTCGTTAGGCACCATTGGGTCTTAATAACTTTCAAATTAACCTCTTCCAGCCAGTCAAGCGCAAACAAACTAACGTATTACCTGTCAACTATCGAATCAAGAATTTTTCTAGAACGAACATGTCAAGCGAGTGTTTCAAATTGGCACATACGGTCATGAATTATTAGCGTATTGACGTGTCATCGTTAGTCCTGTGCAGKGTTTAAACTTTCCGTTATGCGCTCGATGCTCACTTTGCAAATCAGTCCATTCCTAAGTTCGAACCAGAAATAATAGAAAGTTATAGTGCTTGGAAAGGAGCTTATTTCAAATTAACTTTAAAAACTGGTTTCCTTTGTAAATTTTGGTCAATTATGACTTTATTTCAAAGAAAAATTACCTTAAGTAAGTTCTTACGGAGTTGAAAGAATGATTTATCCAATCTTGAAGTTTTTATTTACGGTAGAAACTCCGCACAATGAACTAAAACTTTTGTCTTTCGCCACCAAAGCGTTGAATTCGTATGAATATTTGCATACACACTATTTAGACGTATATTTAAGATATACTGTAAGAAGAGCTCTTTAGAAAAAATTTCTTGGATTTTTCGATAATTTTTGCTTGAGTATGACGTCACATGCAACCCACCAATTCCGGGAGAAAGATATTTCTAAGCTTTTTGAAGTGTTGTTGAAGTGTACATARCATACAAGAATAGCAAGGTTTCAATTTCGCAGTTTAAAAACAACACCTAGCAAACACAGCGAAGCCTTAAGGCGATGTCACCGTTACGAACGTATCCGCTGAGCTGCAAGGCGAAAAATCAATCATTCGAGGTCTTAATATATATCATTAAGTGTTAACCTTTTATCAGTTTTGGCAAGTAAAATAGAGTGTAAAACTATCATTATATCATAAGAACTTACCAAAGTTGCTGCTGAGTTGGCCTTGGAGTGTAGGCGTTGAAATCATAAACCGTTACAGGCCAGGATCAATGATGAACCTATTTCTAAATTCTAAGTTATATGTCCCCTTTGGGAATAGCTAAAGCTTGTTAGCTGTGATGGCGATTGTTAAGTATGTCGGAATATTCGAAAAGATCTTAGGTAATTGTGTTTGGATTTGAAGCCACGCCCTTTAACAGATCCCCGGAGATTAAAGTGTAAATTAAAGTAAGCATACACTCCAGTTTCGAGTTCAAAGCGAATAACCGCTGTTTTACTTGACAGCAGATTCTATTACGCAAAGAACTTACCAAAGACAAAAGAAAGCAATAGAAAATGTTGTTGATAAAATAGAGCGCTAAGAATCTACATTTTCTCCGAGTTGAGGCTAACCCTGCTCATGCCTTAGGTCTTATGGGAATACAGGGATAATCTCAGCTCGGGGAAAATGCAAATTTTCAAGTCTATTGTAATAACGACATTTTCTCGTGCGCTCTTTTGTGTTTGGTAAGATCTTTGCGCAAGAGAATCTGTTGTCAAATAAAGCAGCGGTTATTCGCTATGAATTCGAAACTGGAGTATTAGAGCCCATTTACACGACATCATTTTAGGTACGGCACTCCTGAATATGAGTACGCGGGCCAACGATTTTTGGTTCGGCACTCCTAATTTCTGTCGTGTGTTTATTATTTAGTTAATTTCTTATTTTTTCCCCCCTTTTTAGAATTGTAAATATCTATAATAAATTATTACTATTATTATTATTATTAAGTGGATATATAGCGCGCGGGTAACGGAGATCGTGGACCCTGAGAATCAATACACTATACAATGGTATGCATGAGCAACGTGCACTACTTGACGCATTTGAATGTTCTTGTAATAGACCTAATYGGCTAACGCGTTGCTATAAACGTTTCCACCCAATTCAAACCACCCGGGAGTAAGTTGCATTGTTCGTTGTATTTTTATTTCACAGTTGAATTCTTAGCAATAAAAGTTCTTTTTTCACAGGACTTGAATTGGGCCGTGTAACGTACATAGCAACGAGTTAGCCGATTACGTCTAATTTGTAATTTATAATTGAGTAGGTCTAATTTGTAATAATTTGYAGTATTATTATTTTTTTATAATTTGTGAATTTGATAATTTCTTCTTCAAAGTCGATTTAGTTTTCCTCATACTGGCCTACGTTGTATGAACTCTTTCTGTCTTCCTTTTAACACTTAAGATAGTTTTTCTTTTTTTTTTCTTTCTTTCTTTCTTTCTTTTTGTTTTTGAGAGCTAAGCTTCCTCTACACCTTTTGTTGTTCATTACCTGCTGAAGAATCTAAGCGAAGAAGCATTTTCATCCGAGGGAAAAGGCGGCATACGCCGAATGGAGTCTCAAGAACTAACGTCAATGGAACTGTCATTAAGAAATTTAGCATGGAATTTGACAATCCTAAAGATGTTAATGTGAATTTATTAGCTAGCACTTTCAAACTTTTATTTGCGTTTTCATGCAATCATCAAACAAAAGTACGTTATTTATAGTGTGGTTTTATAGTGTAAAAATCTTCACTACTACTGTGGGATTGCATTGTGGGTGTGCCGGGTTTAAAATTGGACGGATATGCGGATATGCGCTCGAAGCTAACTTTATTTAAGAAATAGGAAACGGCTCGCGTGTCTCTGTCCTCTGATATAATCACGGTGGGAGTTCGAAAAACACGTCGAGAGAAGCAAGCTTAGGAAAACGAGCGTAGCGAGTGTTTCTCTTGCTCCCCGAGTGTTTTTCAACTCCCACCGTGTTTATATCAGAGGACAGAGACACAAGCGCCCGTTTTATATTTCTTTTATAAAATTTTTCGAGCTAAAAGAAAATTTTGCCGGTAATCCGTGTCTCTGTCCTCTGATATAAACACGGTCGTCAGCCAATCAGAGCGCGCGTTATATATCAAAACTTTTATAGAGAATAATAGAAAGTTATGTGGTGCTTCGAAAGACTAGATCATTAACGATCTATTTCGCATAGTGCTACTTATGCATACGATTCATCTGTTGCGTCTAGTAAGTCATACATAATGTTAATTCAATTACCAGTGACGTTTTATCACCTGTTGGTGGAGTATTCAACGTCAACCAAGCCGATGATCGTATTCCGTACCCTCACAAAGTGAGCAATATCAAACGGCTCTTTTTAGAGCGTAAAAATTATGGAGTTCTATTTATATCTTGTAAAATAGTAAGCCAGGCGACGTATAGCAACCAATTTGCCATATCGATCTGAGTGATAATAAAAAAGAGCACTTTTTGATTAAAGATATTTGGTATATACCGGGCTAATTAAAAAAAATAGTCGGCTTCCAAAAGGTTATATTATTAAAGCTAAGACCGAAAGGGATCATGGGAAAGCAAATTATGACGAGTATAACGTATATAGTGTTTCCGTGTGCTATAATGTTTCCTGCTTTGAATTAAAAAAAATGTCCTTCTCTTCGAGAATGCATTAAGGCAACACGTTTAGCTAAAAAGTTTTGTTTGAATCCCTGACTACTTCCCGAATCGCTATTTATTTAAGCTTTGATGATGSTACCTTTTTGCGACCCGACGATGGTAATTCAATAATGCGCATTCGCTCTTAGACTAGCCGTGCCCCACGGACATGACATCAAACAAACTTAAACTCATTTCTCAAAGCGGAACTAATTCAAGCCTTCAAAATGACAAAATAASAATAATCAAATCTATAGCTTGGTCTTTTCTTGACAAAAAATTGCTGCATCTCGAGCGCGATGCGAATCAATCGGCACATGATTTCATTATAAGACCAGACCGCGAAAAGAAATTGCAATAAAATGTTAAAACTCTTTTATTCCTGATATATCTGCAAATAATACCTTAAKTGTTTAAATTTTAATCATGATAAAAGTCATACCTTTGCAACATTTCGATGCACCTAAATAGATTCACAAAACAATTGCMAAAAACACCGAAAGGTAAACAAAAGGAGGAAAGATATTAAAACGAGTACAAAAAAAAATCCAAAATTTTAAAGGGCTACAGTCACGAAACCGCCTCAACTTCCCTGTAATTCAAACATACATCTTTTTCATACAAATTAAAAGCTTGAAGGGTAAAACGCGTTGCTTGAAGGTCATCCACAATCCAAGAAAAAAAYAAGAATTTAGTCGATAACGTCAAATTATTTGAGAATATTTATCAGATATTAGGAATGATATTAAATTCATGTTGTTCCATGAWGAATAAATTCGCATCAATAGGTTTGCTCAAATTTGCAAGCTATTGGACAATTTTCATAGCAGTGAAATGCAAGGAAGTGTTATAAGCTACAAAAGTTGCCWAAATCCTTGGTTCATACAGTGAATCTCCATATTTTAAGCAGCACTAGCAAAAATTTCATCCCCCTACATGCTACCACAGTACACAACAAATCCAAAACAAAGGGGAATTTCAAAAAAATTTAAGTAAAGGAAAAATGATAGACTGGAGTTAAATAATTCTGTCCTCCAAGGAATTCGGCAACGATTTTAGTTTGCTTCATTATTACCATACGTTGTCATACTCGTATCAACTAGCGCAACAGTTGTGCAAAAAAATTTTAAAAAAGTATAGCAATCTCATTTTTATATCATTCAATGTTCTCAAAATGATGCAGTGGGTTTTTTTTCCAGCTGCAGCTTTGCAATTATATTTTTCACATAATCGACTATTTGTTGAAATGGACGCCGCACAACATCTGCAAAAGCATAGGGGGTTCTATTGAACTGATCCCATATATAGAGGATATTACATGGGCGCGAGAAGATACGGACTTGAAACGATCTATTATAAAAACCTATATTTCGCCAATTGGTAAGTTGTTATTTTCACTAGTGAAAATTAAATAAAGTGTTTGATGGATAGCTTATACATTTTTGTATTTTTTTCTTCCTGACTTATTCCTATTTCATTTTTTCCCTTTTTCTTTTTTTGTACTTCTTTTCTTTCTTTCTTTTTTTTTTGTTTCTTATTCTAGGGTTGTATACAGCTTTTGATATAAGTGTGTTTGTAGTCTTTCAGAGTTCATTTTGTCTCGAGTAAAAACATTATAAATTGCGGACATTTTACCCTTGCACATGTCGAATATGACATGTTATCCACAAGTTGTGCGGGCGCGCTTGYAAATGAAGCAKCTTACTATCAYAAAGAYGACCCTCTAAAACTCATTAACGCGGCGTTGGATGTCTCATTTTCCGGTYAGACACAGACAGGGGCAGGTAAGATTCCTATAATTACTGTTTAAAAAATGAAACTACCTATATTATTATATTTCAAATACGGCACTAGAATATTTAAAAGAACAAAGCCATTAGAAAGAGAACAATCAAAAGGTTAATCATTTCGCTAATATAAATTTTTCGGCCTTTATTCAAAGTCTATCGACTGCAAACTGAACTATACACAAATATGATTGATTAGTTCCTAAAGCTTAGGTTGATAGACTGTCCTTGTTCATTCAGGTTTCAGTTTTTTATGTATGGCTATTCTCCTGTGTTTTTAAGTTTTAAACTTTGAAGCTAAAATGGGCAGCGTAGTAGTGAAATGATATACCTTCTCCTAGTTCTTTTTCTACTCGAACTGTATGCCCAAATGAATATATTAACAAAGCCGTTACAGTAAAACAMAYGATAAACAMGCAGACAYACAATTCTCAATAAATAAACTCATGAATAGCTGCAGGAGATATTTAAAAAATTGTGGACATTTCAGAAAACAATATTGCATAGGTCAGGCTGCATATTTATACATTTTCTAGGAAATAGAAATTGATGAAGGTTTTTCTGTATTTCATCCCTCTTGATTGCGTTTATGTGTGAGTAGTACTTTTTTTATAAAAAAAAAAATAAATAAATAAAAAATGCAAGAGCAGACAACAACGTTTGATAGCATTTTTTGCGAGGACTCTGACATAAGTGTGTTCTAATAATTCGAAGAAAAAAACAACTAATAGACACCATTCCCTTGCATATAAATTGATCATCTTGGTCCATCTTGGGTTGTATTAATCAAATTCCGACTTAAATCCGTTTCTAAGGYGAAACTTGCAAATCGCTATGTGCTCAAGTATCCTTAGTACTGTTTATCAGAGAATAATAATTCCTTGAGAGCAACGTAGTAAATTTTCAAAGGGAATGATAACACGTTGATATATACGACATTTCGACTGCACTGAGACATAATTGGGTGTCAMCACACGGCTGTTATCTTTAAGGGAAGTGGGAGCCAGCAGCATGTTTTATGTCTATCAAAATTCGCGACAACGACCCTCAAAACCCTTACCCTATCCCAGACCAATTTTTGTGATTTCACTTACCCTACTAAAGACTAAAGGTACATTATCTTAGCGCTGAAAGCGTGGCCTAGCAGATACGAGCACAGGCAAAACTCCACCCTATCCTAGTCAATGGGACTATACCCTATCCTAGACAAAAATGGGTAAAATACAAATAATACAATATCCAAGACTTGGAGCTCCGAAAAAGGGAGCCTATCGAGCGGCACATACCCGTATAGCAAATATAGGGGTGTTCTCCCCCTTATGATAAATAAAATATCGCTGAAAATCAATATTTTGCTGTTGAAAATCACCTTKTTTAAGATGGAAAAAAATTACTCTTGAGATCACATTGTGATAATATAAAGTTAATGTGCGTGGAAAGAAGCCTATTCAGTGGGCACAATACAGACTAATTTCCGACCTCGCTGGTCCCTACACACTAGTCGAGACTGATATAATATATAGGAGATCACCATGGCAGCTATAGTGTATTACCGCCGCTACTGCATTATGTAAACCATCTATAACTACTATATTGACTTCCTTTGGATGTCTTTGTTTCTTGGATCGATAATGAAAAAAATCTATYAAAGATAATGTCCATGTGCGCCAGGAAAAAAGTCGCTTAAAACCGCTGTAACACGTGCAATTTTTCTCTTGCGCAGGMGACGCGATTTTCTCAAAATCACCAGCGCACGATGTGGTTACACGAGCGACAATGCTGCATCGATAAAAAAATACTCAACTACTTGAATTATTTAAGCTATCAGACTGTCTATAAGAGTTTTAACTGTCATATGACGATCATTAATCTTCAATGTAAGTAATTATTCTCTTTAACATTAAAACCTCAAAGTTAACTCAGTTAACTCAAGCAAGTTTAATTTATTGTTTACGATTTTTGTCATATAATCTACATATCAATAGTATTTATTTAGAAATATTCAAAGATCAATTGTTAAGCGTCTTTTCTTGATAACCTCCAGTCCTTTCTTGTTGCGTCTTTCATTTCTGTGTTCGCCACTACATTTGGGCATTGCAAAATAATAAAAAACTTCTAAAATATAAAAAAGACAGCTTGAACATGTTAAAGCCTGTCTGTACGTAGACACTTTACGGCCATTACACAGTAATAGAATCGCTCTTGTACGATTATACACTTTGAGACGGACGCAACAAAAATAAAATAAAAAACGGGGATCTACACCTTGTTTTTTACTGTAGAGGGCGTATAAGATTACCCGATTTCAATGTGTGCGCAAATTATTCTTCAATTTTAGTAATCGAAAAAGAAAGCATTTAAAGGTGGTTATTTTCCTATACTGTCATCCTTACAATKTCTGAGTGACTATAAAAAATGTAAACAGCTCTGGGTTTCAAGACAGCTCAACATGATSTGTYTTTATACGAATGGCACTGGGCAAGTTGTCCTATATCAATTGGACTAATTGGACTTGTACTATAAATTGTTAGATATCTCAAAATCGATCAGCACATAGMTTCCTTTTCAAACTCAAATACATGTTTGCGTTCCTTAATCATTGAGCAAGATGATGGAATAAAAAAGGAAAGTCATCGAATTCGTTTAATTGGTATAGCAAGTTCAATGGTTGAATCATGATCTGATTTCCTAGCTAGCTATCACGCTTTCACTGGTCAGAAATTTTGCGTAATGCAATACTTCGGAACGGCCTTAAATTACAATTTGAGCTTTCAAAAAACGGCAATAACCACCACCACCAAAATATTCTATATAATATATAGAATTATATCACTATTTTAAATATCAAAATATGTCATTACTATCGCCGCGAGAATAGTGAAAACATTTTGGGTATACTTCTCACTCGAACGCCGTCCTAAATTTGTATGCACTTAAAAAAACATCTCGTACATTTCGTTCATATGGAAATGTCAATTTTCTGTCATTTTGTTTTTCGCCGAGATAATGAGATTTATTGTTTGTCTTTCTTTACTCTTTAGAGCAGCAACGGACGTTCTCTTTTTACAAAGATGAGTTTGGTAAAGTACAATGTTATTTCATGCTCCTGATTATAGTCTAAGCAGTGGAGATAGGCCTCGTTTTTATTTTATGCTTTTTTGTTTGTTTTGCTTTGTTTATTTTTTTCCCCTTCAGACCTCTAGTCGTACAGTTAAATATGTCGTTGCTAACTCTTGGTTTCTTTTTACTTTCTCTCTGTATCTTTTCATTTCTGTCTGTTTCATCTTCTTACTTCATTCAAATAGTAGTCCGCGAACGCTATTGGTCAATTAAATATGCTCATTTGTTTTTGATCGTCGTTTAGCAACCTTCATCCGAGACACTTGAAATGGTAAGTTTTGCATTTATTTCAAGCTGTGCCTTTCTAATGTAAGCAATGGTGAGCAGTATGTGCTATTCAAGGGTAGCTGGGAAAATACCAAGAAAAAAAATCCAGTACAGCATGAATCTACTAAAACACCTTTTATTGCAAAGCAAGAGTTCATTTTGCAAAAAAGGAAACAAATGCGTCCTTGTTGTGCATTATATTTGATAGAATCAATTTCAATCAGCAAAAGATGAGAAAACGATAACAATTTTTTTCGCATTCGCGCATTGTCAATTTATATCCACAAAGTACTGAGTATGCCGATAAAGAGCGCTTGATGGGCAGACCAAAACTACTACCAAACAAAAAACAAACAAAAATGAACGTTGGCGACCAGGGTAAAACTATGTATAATATATTCAAGAAAAAAAATAATCAATTCCAGAAGAAATTGCATYCACACGATTCGTTTACTTCTGAAAAAAGGTTTTGTTTTGTAACATTTTAAGCAACAAAATTCTTTGTCCCTTTGAATGATGATAATATGACTAAATGAAAAATGTGAAAATTTGAGAAAAACTATTAGCAATCATCTTTAAAGAAAAAAACTTATAGGCAAATTAGGGTGTGAAAAGAGTTCAAGTGCAACAAAGAACGAAAAAATATCCTAGAAAAAAATAGTTCACAACAATCCCCTACAAATTTAATTGCCCATGATGAGGTAACCCGCGTACTTCCAGTTCAAAGGCTGGATGAAACTCAGGCGTATGATTGGAGAAATAGAGGACATTACATGGGCGCGCGGAGATACGGATTTTACCTTCGAGTGTTGAAAAGATCTCTCACGAGTGAGCGTAGCGAAGATAAAATTCATATCTCCAAGCGACCATGTAATATTCTGTTTATCATATAATTACATATGAAAGCAAATTATGTCGTAAAATACATTTTTTTTCTTGCTTTTACTATATAGTGAAACCTCTAATGTGTTATTTTCACTAGTGAAGATATCAATTTTACGAAATGGAGAAATATAGGTATTTCATAAAAAATTATATGATAAAAGGGGTTTCATGATGCATGATGAGGGAAGGAGGGGCGGGGAGTGTTTGTATAGTAGATAGGGGTTAGTGCACCAACTCCCTCTAAGTACCTTAGAYTCCACGTCGACAGATGTTGGGACTTACTATGAAACAATGTATTCCAGTAGCCTCCTCCACAGGCAACTCTTTTTTCCTCCTTTGGGCTTCCTTTGTAACGGTCATTTTGGCCGTTAGGGACTAGTGACAAGATAGCAAAAACCCCTTTTCTCGCCCCCATTCTCCCTCTTTTGACTCATCAAAAAGACAGGAAGCCCGTGATTCTTAGTGATGCCTGCGGAGGAGGCTAGTATTCCAGTATCTTTATGTTTGTTTTTATTATGTTTAGGAACAAATCATCACAATTGAAGATCCATGTAGTGACCCATTGTTTTGTAAACCAAAACCAGTAAGTGTATTGACAAATAATTTGCCTTCTGAAATAGATTGCCGAAACCATTCRTTGATCGCTTCATAGATTGCATGCGCYGAAATTGAAAGGATTGATGGGAAACTAAGCAAAATTTGCTACTTTCAAATCTACGAAGCTAAGCTTCTTTTTGACAGTTAATCAGTTCTTTTGATAGTCATTCAGTAATATTTATTGTATTTTTTCTATTTTCCAGAGAATCGAAGAGGTATGTATACCACTGTTTTTCTTAAAGGGGAAGTCCACACCCAAGACAATTCTATTTCAAAATCATAATCTGGTAAAGAAAAATAAATTGCCAAAATTTGGTGGGCATGCAATCTTGCTTTGCAAAATTGTTGCTGTCTTGAAAATAACTTTTTACACTTGAAATTAACGGAACAAAAACGTTTTTGCAATTTGGATGAATYATTGTAAAGTTTAGCCTAAACTGTGCATTTTTGTATATTTTAATTTCTGTGCTAATGTATTTGAATATTMAATAGGATTCGGGGAAGGGGAATGCTTTGTTCCATACTTTATCTTTGCTTGTGTTCAACATTTTTGCACAAACGTTTATATAAACTATTTATCTTAAAAAGGATGAAGRTCCGGATGGTACAGATACTACAGGTACATACACATTTCGATGTCAATTAGCATATYTCAWACCTYGTCTCGTGGACGAACAACAATTTTTACGATGAGATRCGGTGCCAACCGTSGTAAATAAGAGTACATACCACCAGAGGAGATATCATAAATTTGTTAATTAAAATATCATAAATCAAAATGTTATTATTTTTTCCCTTGTTTTTGAACTCAACTTACAAATCATGTTTCTTCAGCCGGAGTACTTTTATTTTTTCATCGTGAAATCTATGTTTTGAAGTCTCGCGACAATCTAAATAGTACTAATACTATGGTGATGAAGATAAGGAAAAATGATTCGAGATTAGCTTTACATTAGCTTTTCAAACACTACTTTTATTTTTAATTTGAAGTCTTTGAAGTAATAATGGACAATACTCTAAAAACTGGCGATTTTCATAAAATAAAAGAGCTTATYACACCCTATAACCTGATGAAGTGCAGAACAAACAGCCTGGAAAAGTCTTTGGAGGTATGTAGAAAACAGTACCAAACTAGTAGCATAATTTAGAAAACCTTTCACAATGAAGAAATGAGCAAAAAATAGACAAAACTAATCAAGTGAAATTAACAAGTTAGAAATAAAAATGTTTTGTGCTTAGTTCCTCACAGTGTCTTTATGTTGCTGTGCCTCATTTCGTGAATCGATTGTCTTTTCAAGATGGTGGCGGTCAAACACTGACCACCATGCGCAATCAAGCAGCAACATTTTTTTTAAACACGTCATAATTCAGCTGTGATCCAAAGGAACAGGAAGTGACGTCGAGTAAAACACAGCAATAAATGTGACGTCAAGGAGCTTCATCTCGAGGATAAAATAAAAGATTTTTGCCCAATCCATTGTTTCATTGTTTCCTCCATTTAGGCTGCATCCCCATTGACTGCAAGGGGTCCATAAATGTCATATATTGAGTGCTTTGATCCATTATAGATTTCCTTTCATTTTTTTGTCTGCATGTAAAAACTCATGTATGCTTGCATATGTCTCACCTTCTAAGACAGATATTAACAAATTCCATCTTATAGTAATGGCAATAATATTAGTACGAGAAGCCCCATGGGGAACAAAAGAATCATTAAGGGTGTACTGACATATCCGTTACTAGGGAAATTCAGCAGTTCTCTAAAATGACAAACAAAAGTGAAATCGCTTTCGTATTGAGTATTAAGCCTTCCCAAACAAAAATAACACATTCTATGACGTCATTGTATGACGTCATCGCGTGACGTCATTAATACGAAAAAATGCTATAATCTCATCAAGCAAAGTATATTAAACGATTGAAAATGGATGAAATTAATCTTTAGATCTAAGTCCGTAAAGCCAAGCATGCGTTTTTAGAATGATTGCCAAATAAGCTTTTTACGATTTTTTAAATGCCACAAATAAGCGAAAAATGACAATAACTTTCGTATTTTTTATATTTACGCCAAATCCATGCTTGGTTCTGAAGAGGAGGCTGTGAAGAACATAAATATTGAAAAAACACGTCCATTTGATATTTCGCACCGAAGATTATATTTTTTAAATGGTAACCATACATTTTATGTAAACAAAAACCTTTCCACCGGAAGTAAAAATTTTCCCGCCATGAAAACGCGCGCGCGCCCGCTTCTCCGATTGGCTAGCATCGGCTAGCATAGCAACCAGGTCGTCTAGAAGCGGATACGTCAGTACACCCTTAATCATTAAATGAATTTCATTTATTTCATAATGCTGAACAGGATTAAACCCAATACGTGAAGTCTTTAACACACAGTCACGCCAAGAAACTTTATTTTAAGGAAAACTAGTTTCGTCCCAGATTGGACCTTTTCAATTCCTTAAGTTTACAATTTGTACGTTTGGATTTCTACGATTTTTAAACTAATCGCGCGCGTTCTGTTGAAAGCGCGCGCTAATTAGACAGCTATGACTACATTTATGATTACAACAAGTATTTCTACGACAGTTCGATATTAGCACGTGGTATTAAGACAGTGTTCCACTCTGTTTTGGTGTTCATAGACCTTCCTTCTCTCTTTATCCTCACCGATTCTGTTATCTGTCGTAGCATTCGGTCTTGATTGTATGTTCCTGTGACATTCATTACAAAGTCTTGTAAGATACCTCCGTGTTTTTCAGAGCAGTGTCTCTTCAAGACCGAATGTTCCCTGGTGTTAGAGTCGACACTTCTTACATGCTCTCTTTCTCTTGTAAACGCGTTTCTTGATGTTTCACTTATATATTTATCTTTACATGACTTGCATTCGATTTCGTATGTTATACCTTGCGTTCTACACGGTCCAGTAGCTCCAGTCCGACATACCAGGCACTCTTCTTCCTCACATACTTTCTTCCTAAATGGATTAGATCTTTGTAGCACCCTCTTCACATTCGTCTCTGACTTTTCCACGATCTTTATGCCTACTCCCGATTTCCTCACATCTTCCTCTAGAATTTTTCTTAACTCTGAGTTAGGTGTTGCAGGTATGAATATAACACTCGAGTATATTCCTCTCTTGTACCAACTCGTTCGTTTTTCTCTCTTCTTCTCGTCGCGTTCAGCTTTCTTCCATTCCTTTGGTCTGTACATAGGTCTTAATCCTTGCTTGTCTAGTGCTAAAATCCGTCGGTATGCATTCAACGCTGACTTCACAACATCATATCGGAATTCCTCTTTATAGCCAGTGTACTGCATTCTTGCAACCATTTGATTAATATGAGTCACAGTCTGTTCCCATGGTAACAAGGTACTGCAATTCAGTAGTACTCTAAGGACCTCTTGTGTCATGATGGTGCGNATGTAGAAAACAGTACCAAACTAGCATAATTTAGAAAACCTTTCACAATGAAGAAATAAGCAAAAAATAGACAAAACTAGTAATCAAGTGAAATTAACAAGTTAGAAATAAAAATGTTTTGTGCTTAGTTCCTCACAGTGTCTTTATGTTGCTGTGCTTCATTTCGTGAATCAGTTGAATCGATTGTCTTTTCAAGATGGTGGTCAAACACTGACCACTATGCGCAATCAAGCAGGAATTTTTTTTTTTAAACACGTCATAATTCAGCTGTGATCCAAAGGAACAGGAAGTGACGTCGAGTAAAACACAGCAATAGATGTGACGTCAAGGAGCTTCATCTGGAGGACAAAATAAAAGATTTTTGCCCAATCCATTGTTTCCTCCATTTAGGCTGCATCCCCATTGACTGCAAGGGTTCCACAAATGTCATATATTGAGTGCTTTGATCCATTATAGATTTCCTTTCAATTTTTGTCTGCATGTCAAAACTCATGTATGCTTGCATATGTCTCATCTTCTAAGAGAGATATTAACAAATTCCATTTGATAGTAATGTCAATAATATTAGTACGAGAAGGCCCATGGAGAACACAAGAATTATTAATCATTAAATGAATTTCATTTATATATCGCTTGATGTAGGTTAACTACCAGCTCAAGGGTCTAGCTCATGGAGATGATGGTGCGAATGCTGGCGATTTTAATGGCTTGGCCCACAATGTCCAGAACTTTGCTTATGAACTTCTTGAGCCGTTAAAGAGCAGTATAATGAAAAGAGCCATTTTTGAAGGAGATAACTTTGAAAGAATCGTTGACAAAATAGTGGAATATCGTCAGAAAAAGGTGGGAATCAATTTCTGCGTTCAGCTGTTCATTTTGACGCTCCAATTTGACGGCGATATTACTTTCCTCTTGTACATATCATAACTAGTAGTGGCCAAGACTGGCCTATTTCTACCTACTTGTCCAATACTCTTATCAAAATTTAAGCATCAAATTTACATCATTTTGGACACTTACATAATATTTACATCAAATTTACAACCTTTTAAAGTGAAGGATTTCTTCCAGTGGACCACTCAAGCAGGCGATTTTACAGCTTTCCTCTTGTACATATCATAATAAACTAGTAATGGCCAAGACTGGCCTATTTCCACCTACTTGTCCCATATTCTTCTCAAAAGATTAAAAATGGAAAGTACTAGCAAACAGCACAAGAAGCAAAAACCGTAATAGCACAACTAGAGACATTCAGAACGATTTCGGAATTAAAAAGAAAGAAACGAAAGTGCTAAAATGTACGTACCTTTATTTTGCAGATTGCATCTCATCCAGTTGTATACAATCTATTAATGAGACGTTGGACAAGAGCGTTTTATCAATTGAGATACAGTTCCTCAACTTTGGATCGGTTTAAATGGTATTTGTTAAACATTTGGACTCTCTTTGACTTGGTTCTGTTCCCGTTGGTATTTGCACTAGCGTATGTAGTTCATAAGATCAAAGGAATTGCTAGAAATCGGCAAGGTATGAGTTTAGATAAGAAATGTATGAATTTGAAGAGAAGGCTATGCTAACTTTCCTTTTCTTGAGCTTATTATGATGAAAGACCCATTCTTTGTAATCGGATTCCTCATGCGTATCGTCGAGCAATCCACTTGTTTCTAATAACCTTTTCAGTCATTTGTTTGTTTGTTGAAAGTCGTTTTTCGTTAGCCTCAAAGATGGCGTATATCCCTCGCAATCTGCGTCTTGCTGATGATTCGTCCAAGTCAGAGAAAGCGAAAAAGCAGTTTTTTCATTCCAAACTATAGCTAGTTTAAAATATATCTTGTAGCCGTTTATGTTGTCTTGACAGAGCCATTCACCCTCCATTGAAAGTATGAACTCTGAATACGGAGTTTTCTCTTTTCCGTTATATCCATTCACGCGTAAACAGTACAGTTTTAATTGAAGAGCAACATTTAAATCCGTCATTTTGTCCATCCAAAATCTTTCTGGTTGTCAAGCATCTTGTAGCTCGCCCTAGCGGTCTGGCAGTGATCCTTTGCAAAGATATGACTCCAAAGAGAATAACTCTTGACGAACTTTATCATTTGACATTTTTCCTCGACCATACCCTTCAATTTTTGGTAGGCAATTTTTTCACACCTCCTGTCTTTCCTTCTCCAACAGCCCTTTAAACGGTTAAAACCAAAACGAGGAAAAATTGGGCAATATGAAAAAGAGTCATGACTTTTTTACCAAACAAAATTACTTAAGCTACATTGCAAAACGATAAACAAGGGACTATTTTTTGGTCATTGCCCGATTCTGCAAACCACAGGTCCCCCGCTCAAAGAAAGGGAAACTTTCTCTCATACCTGATTTGCAACAAGTGTACAGTGTGTATTTGCGTAGTAGACGGCACCGATATAGTCAGTCAGAGTTAGTTTCGTATGAGTGGGAAACGGAAGGTACTGTACTGTAATAACCGTAATCGTACTGTAAGAAAATTCTAGTGCTCCATTGGTTCACCAAAATTGTGCAGGCCAGGTGCGGTAACTGTGCGGTAACCGTGCGGTAACGGTGTCCCACTCATACGAAATCCACTCTATTTAGATGGTCCGCACTGATGTCATGTAAGATTTCTTTTAATGTCATAGATCACCATGTTGTGCTGATTCTTAATGCGAAAAAAGAAACCTTTCTCCAAAAAATGCGGGATTTGTGCAAACACATGATTGACCAATCTGAAAATGACCGGTTCAAGTTCGCATCCATAATACGCCATAAGGATGACGTAAGAACTAACGACTTCATGGCTAAAGACGGCGCTAAGGCTGCATTAGATGTCAATGAAGAAGTGTGCGAAGAAGCAAATGGTGATACCGAGCTGGAGACATGCTTAGAAATGCTTAAAAACTCTGAGCAATCTAAGTCAACCAACTCAAACAAGGTACGTTCTTTTAAAGATAATCGATTTAAACATTATTTTTAAGATATCCGTTTTTCGGATAGTGTTGAAGAAATAAACAATGTGGCTATCATTTATCTCAATTCGTCGCGGAAAAGATAAGTTTTATATTGTAAAAAAGTAGGTAAAATACACAGCTGTTTCTTTAGAAACAGCGACGTAGCTCGTACTAGTTTACTCTTAGTTTCCACCATTATCACAATTAGCCCTATACAGGCTTAAATTTTTTTTTATTTGAGAAGTGGAAGGTTGGCTTATTGCGTTCTTTAAGAATAAATATTGTGTCCGTTCCTCTTGAATAGACTTGTATCCTCTTTGCTNCTTGTGTCATGATGGTGCGTTTAGCTCGTGATGGTATGGCCGATCGTGGATGGATTACTGATTTCGAAGATATATCCTTGGAGTAGAACTCGTGCATGATTACGTTTGCCTCTACGTAGGACCCGTTCACTTCAACGTTTCTCTTCTCAATCCAAACTTTGACATCTAATATAGGTATCTTCCTGTCATCATGATTAGAAGGATGGTCAACTTCTACCTTTATAGATGGGTGTATTCCGTCAGCAATTGACTTCATAATTGACATGCATCTTTCATTGGGATCCTGTATGCTATTCTGTACGTGTCCTTCCTGAACCATTTCCGTTTCTGCTGGTATTGACATAACGATGTTGATGTCATCCACATACCGTTTGTACATATGTATCTGCACGCCCCTCGAGCTTGTAACATCTTTGAATTCTCTATCCCACCACACCATAAATATTTGTGCAAGTACTCCAGTTAATTCCAGACCTATGGGACCCCCCTTCAACTGACGGTAGATGGTATCATTGAATGTATATACATGGTTTTTCATTATAAACAGGAGCGCGACTCTCATCGCTTCAACTAGCATTTTACGTGTATCGCTTACATCTGGTCGTGAGACAGCATAGTTGAACTTTGAGAATCGTTTATTCAAGAAGTAAACAGTAAGCATTTGACGGATGAAATAATGGTTCGGTCAGCGGACGTAAAAGCACCCGAGTCTGGATATTGATTTTACCGTGGATAAGGTATGTGAAGTGTTTTATGCTAGTGGTATCACCGTAGAAGGAATTGATACAGACGAACTAGGACTATATCTTTCCCTTAATTACGACCAACAATGTTTAAGGGATAAGAATATCCTACAGTACTGTCCCACACGTAAGACGAATAGAGGGAGGAACCCGACAATTACTGGTTGTGCTATGGAAGAGAAAAAGGATAAAGAGAGAGCATGTAAGAAGTGTCGACTCTAACACCAGGGAACATTCGGTCTTGAAGAGACACTGCTCTGAAAAACACGGAGGTATCTTACAAGACTTTGTAATGAAATGTCACAGGAACATACAATCAAGACCCAATGCTACGACAGATAACAGAATCGGTGAGGATAAAGAGAGAAGGAAGATCTATGAACACCAAAACAGAGTGGAAAACTGTCTTTTAATACCACGTGCTAATATCGAACTGTCGTAGAAATACTTGTTGTAATCATAAATGTAGTCATAGCTGTCTAATTAGYGCGCGCTTTCAACAGAACGCGCGCGATTAGTTTAAAAATCGTAGAAATCCAAACGTACAAATTGTAAACTTAAGGAATTGAAAAGGTCYAWTCTGGGACGAAACTAGTTTTCCTTAAAATAAAGTTTCTTGGCGTGACTRTGTGTTAWAGACTYCACGTATTGGGTTTAATCCTGTTCAGCATTATGAAATTGAAAAAGTCTTTAGATGTTCGAATTTTACAAATATCAAACAAATTTCATTTATATGTCGCTTGATGTAGGTAAACTACCAGCTCAAGGGTCTAGCTCATGGAGATGATGGTGCGAATGCTGGCGATTTTAATGGCTTGGCCCACAATGTCCAGAACTTTGCTTATGAGCTTCTTGAGCCGTTAAAGAGCAGTGTAATGAAAAGAGCCATTTTTGAAGGAGATAACTTTGAAAGAATCGTTGACAAAATAGTGGAATATCGTCAGAAAAAGGTGGGAATCAGATTCTGCACTGAGCTGTTCATTTTGACGTCCCAATTTGACGGCGATATTACAACTTTCCTCTTGTACATATCATAATAAACTAGTAATGGCCAAGACTGGGCTATTTCCACCTACTTGTCCCATACTCTTCTCAAAAGATTAAAAATGGAAAGTACTTGCATACAGCACAAGAAGCAAATACCGTAATAGCACAATTAGAGACATTCAGGACGATTTCGGAATTAGAAAGAAAGTGCTAAAATGTACGTACCTTTATTTTGCAGATTGCATCTCATCCAGTTGTATACAATCTTTTGATGAGACGTTGGACAAGAGCGTTTTATCAATTGAGATACAGTTCCTCAACTTTGGATCGGTTTAAATGGTATTTGTTAAACATTTGGACCCTCTTTGACTTGGTTCTGTTCCCGTTGGTCTTTGCACTTGCGTATGTAGTTCATAAGATCAAAGGAATTGCTAGAAATCGGCAAGGTATGAGTTAAGATAAAACTGATGTATGAATTTGAAGAGGAGGCTAAGCTAACTTTCCTTTTTATTTCCTGAACTTATTATGAATGCCCCATTCTTTATTATCACTTTCCTTTGCATCTTATAGAGCTTTTGCAATCATTTGTTTGGTTTGGTTTGACATTAAAGAAATATCTCTTGATGAAAGTTTCGTTCTTTTTGAGTCGAAATCAAAGATTTTGATTTTTTGCATGCGAGAAAATCCCTAATGCAAATGTTATTGGATGCACGTATTTTAGGCTTCAAGGGAACTTATTTCTGAACGACGAAGTCGCATAAGAAGACTTTGTTTGGGAGGATTCCTTAAGATAAAGAACACGAAATCAGTGAATCAAAAGTATGATATGACACAAACAATTTGAAACAAGTTAGCAAATATGATATTTTCTTCGCCTACAAATTCCACAGGGGTATATAATTATTCTGGTGTCAAGCATCTTGTAGCTCGCCCTACCGGTCTGGCAGTGATCCTTTGCAAAGATATGACTCCAAAAAGCATAACTGAGCATTCATCATTATCCTCATATCTCCTCGCGCCAGCAGTCGCATAAGGCCTTCACCTCCTCTTTCCAGCCGCCTCTATCTCTTGTTGCCATTTTGGCTTTATTCCATAACTGCGCATTGACGAAACTTTATCATTTGACATTTTTCCTCGACGTACCACTGCAAGTCCCTACCCTTCAATTTTAGCAGGCATTTCCTTCTCATCTCCTGTGTTTTCTTCCCCAACAGCCTTTAAACGGTTAAAACCAAAACGAGGAAAAATTGAGCAATATGAAAAACGTTTATGACGTTTTTAGCAACCAAAATTACAAACAACATTGCAAACATTGCAAACCGCTAAACTATTTTTTGGTCTTTGACCGATTCTGCAAAACCACAGGTCTCCCGCTCAACGAAAAGGAAACTTTCTCTCATACCTGATTTGCAACTACAAGTGTACAGTGTGTATTTGCGTAGTAGACGGTACCGATATATTTAGATGGTTCGCACTGGTGTCATGTAAGATTTCTTTTTATGTCATAGATCACCTTGTTGTGCTGATTCTTAATGCGAAAAAAGAAACCTTTCTCCAAAAAATGCGGGATTTGTGCAAACACATGATTGGCCAATCTGAAAAAGACCGGTTCAAGTTCGCATCCATAATACGCCATAAGAATGACGTAAAAACTAACGACTTCATGGCTAAAGACGGCGCTAAGGCTGCATTAGATGTCAATGAAGAAGTGTGCGAAGAAGCAAATGGTGATACCGAGCTGGAGACATGCTTAGAAATGCTTAMAAACTCTGAGCAATCTAAGTCAACCAACTCAARCAAGGTACGTTCTTTTAAAGATAATCGATTTAAACATTATTTTTAAGATATCCGTTTTTCGGATAGTGTTGAAGAAATAAACAATGTGGCTATCATTTATCTCAATTCGTCGCGGAAAAGATAAGTTTTATATTGTAAAAAAGTAGATAAAATGCACAACTGTTTCTTTAGAAACAACGACGCAGCTCGCACTAGTTTACTCTTAGTTTCCACCATTATCACAATTAGCCCTATCCAGGCTTAGATTTTTTTTATTTGAGAAGTGGAAGGTTGGCTTATTGCGTTCTTTAAGAATAAAWATTGTGTCCGTTCCTCTTGAATAGACTTGTATCCTCTTTGCTTTAGTATCGTTAAGCAAAAGCTTCTTTTCCTCGGTATTAAAAACGTCCATGAATTAACTTTCGGTAAAAACTGAAATCTTGGTATAATATTTTGGTTGCAGACGCTGGTTCTCATGACAGACAATAAAACGGGAGATTGGGATCGGAATCTTCTACGAATAAAACAGCAAGTGAAAAATAACAGATCTAGAGTTGTGTGTGTCGGGTTGGGCGTTCATATCGATGTTAAAGAACTGGAATCAATTGCAACGGACAGAAGCTGTTTTGTTTATCTTGATGGTGATATTCAGCGAGAGGATGGGCGTCAGATCCTTGAAGGCATGTAATAAAAATGCATTGAGATCTTGTTGATATGACGTATCTCAAATACATTTTTTAGATACATTAAGTATAGTTTAAAACACGATCTCGAGTGTTTTAAACGGCTTCACAAACTCCAACACTAATTTGAAACTCAAATCCGTTAAAATTCTTGGAGAAATTGACGTACAAATATKTTCTGAGATAAATAGGGCWAASTGATCATGTGCGAATCACTTTACAAAGCACTCTTGTCATCCCACATTGAATACGCATAAAGTAAAACAGAACCGCTGTTGTTAGTTGTAAGTTAGCTGTAAGTTAAATAATGCATGGAATAATTACTAAAATACATTCGATTTATCAGTCGAATTTACGGTAATATCAAGATTCGCTTTAATAAGTTTGATGTACAAAATAAAATGATAATGATAAAAAATACAAGCTAGTAAATGACCAATCAAAGACAATAGGAAGAGAAACCGGTCATGTTTTATCAACATCATACTAGCCGGGGAACATTAGACATAATCCCGGTGTAAAGTCTAAATGCAGGAATTCAATAGGCCTTTTACATGAAACGGTCAAATGGTACTAAATCTTGCATACTGGATGGAAAATAATGCAAACAACCTCAAAAACAAAAGGAACGCAGCACGTTGAACTTCAGTTACTTTTTGTTTTGAACATCCCAGTAGGTATCAATCCGGCATGGCGGGTCTAGCACCATGTGACCCTTTCATAAAAAAGGGCTGTTTCATGGACGCTGTGGTTTGTAATTCAATTTTAATTTATTGAATTTTAACCAAAAAAATGTATACATCACCATTTCTTTGTTCACCTCAAGGCTGAGAACACATAAAATATGGCATGCAAGTATTAAGGAACACAAATTAAATGACTATTCTTCTTACTAGACAGTTGATTATTATCTTCATTACAAACGTTACTTGTGGTTGATCAACGTAACCATCTGTGTTTTTTTGCAGGTATACATGGAAATGATATCTACGGTAAATTCAATACAGTCTTAACTTAAGAAATAACAGTGACCGCGAGTGTGTCTGTTTTATCATAAACACATTTAGAAGCAAGCATTGGAACAACTTCTCTCATTGTGTTTATATCAGAGAATACAGAGAAACTAGCAGTCGTTCTATATTTTATGTATGAAATTCACTGGAAAAAATCGCGCGCTTTAAAGGTTGTAAATTTGATGTACATATTATGTAAGTGTCCAAAATGATGTAAACTTGATGTAAATTTACATCAAATTTAAGCATCAAATTTAAATCAAATTTACATCATTTTGGACACTTATGTAATATTTAAATCAAATTTACAACCTTTTAAAGTGAACGATTTTTTCCAGTGATTATTCTGTCTTTTTCGAGAGATTTAGTGAAAAGCCACGCCTAGCCTTCGTACTCGCAATATAAACACGGTCGTTATCCAAGACAGAGCGGCATTAGATTCTATATAGAATAACATAATTTCCAAACAAGCGTTGTTCTGACAGGTCGTGTTTAAAAAAATAGCATCCCGGAAGCCTGGTTTATATTCTCTTACTTTTTTAAAAAACCCTTTACAGATGTTTTCAATCCAAAACACTAGCTTAAAATATATAGAAAATCTCACTTTCATGTAGTATTTTAGCATTTTATATTAAATCCTAATTTTGCGCGTAGCAGCCCTGGCGATAATTTCGT